GTGTGACAGGCGTGGGGCACCTTAGATAAGTGATAATAGTCCATCACAAAGTCAAACAGAAACACACAAAACAAACAACCATTGATCATCTCACTCACACCTAAAGGGATGTTTTAGTTACCAGTTATCCTGACATGCATGTTTGTGTTCTGTGGGAGGAAACCAGAGTAACCAGAACAAACTGATGCATAAAGAGAACATGTGCCACTGTGGCTGCCACTGTTAAGGTCTGGAATTTAATATTTTCCTAAAGAATTTGGCAAATCGTTGCAGAAAGGGGTTGAGAACGAGTTTTATATCTTGTTTTTTTATTTCTGATATTTTTTTCTTTCATACTTTGAAAACGTGTTAATTTGTCGTTGTATCAAGAATGTCCAGAAAAGTCTAAAGTTCAGTTTGTTTTGAAGAAAAGGACTTTAAAATCTGTCTGGTGCTCTTGAAATCAGACATTTCTTGTAGATCTGTTTTTGAAGATCTCTGCGGTCATGAAGCTGTTGAGCTGAGCAGCAGCAGGCAGATGTGAGCTGCTGTTGGGACATCCCACACTGTGATGATGATTTAAAGATCATAACAACTCACAGTTTTTCACTAGTAGTTAATCTAATGTATTAGTTAACACAGTTCAAAACAGAAAACTCACCAGTCTAGTGTCACTCCTGTTCCTTATTAAAGGCAGTCGCCTCCTCAGGTTCCATAAATATCCCGTAAAAACATTTTTCTAAAAAAATAAATAATCTAAGCTGAGACGTGTGTTTCCAAGCTCCTACTTCCTCTTCTGCTGAGACTACAGCACATGTTGCAACTTCCTCTCCAGGAATCTTTTGAAAGCCAGCAGATGTACTAATCTGTTGAGCAATAACTGGGAGGAGAGCGGCCTGGATCGTGCTTTTCATATTTTACCACTCACACATGTCTGACACAGCACTTATCATACAACACTCATCACTTTTTCTAAGCAACACATTGTTGGTCACACTGTGACTTTAGTGGTATAAACAATGTAATCTGTCTCATTCTGCCCTGTCAGACAAACTAACCAGCAGAACAGGCCTGGTTTATGTCACAGCCATGTTGCGCCCTCTGGTGGTCGCAGTAAGGAACTGCACCGGAACAAAACAATTTTATCTGCACAGAAAGGAAGTTATTGACCCTGAGCAAACTAATAATCATAGGTTCAACTGCCTCTGTCAGATTTTATTTAGCCTTGTGGTCTAATCAACATAAGTGTTTTTGTGAAAAATGTTCCTGTGATTTTATTTGAAGGAAATTTTACTTTTGGGTTTGCAGCCAAAAATGACTGCTCCATTAAATCTAAAAATAAATTTATTAAAAAAACATTTAGTCTAGCATAATGC